CAAAGCATCCATAAGAGATTCCAAAAATCAAAATGTGCAGGAATCAAACCCTACTTGCGTTCGACCCCAGCGGCCATGAGAAGCCCTGAACCACCTGCGAGGAGAAAATATTCAGTGGTTAGCTCGCACCAGGTCATCCGCCTACGTGGCGTGGTGAGCTTAGTTGGCTCCACTCAACGGGAGACACGTGGCGCTGAGTTGGACTTGCTGAAAAATTGAAAAAAGGCTTTCTTTTCTCTACGTGGGGACAGAGCTGAAAAATTCAGCTCCCGCCTAAAACTTCCCCCCTCTCTCTCTCCTCTTTTCAATTTCCAAGGCCCTTCTTTACCTGCACTCCTGCGGAAGAACAACCAAAACACACTCTCTCTCTCTCTCTTTCTCTACCGCCTTCGCCTTCGCCTTCGCCTCCGCCTCCGCCTCTCCCAAGAGCCCCGCCGGTCGCTCCGAGCTCAGATCTGCGCCCAAGAGGGAGAGCCCCGCGTCGCTGCGAGCTCGGATCTGCATCTGGCACGTCGCCTCCCCCAAGAGCCCCTCCGTCTCGGCTGCTGGATCCCGAGCCCCTCCGCCTCCGCCGAGCTCAGATCTGCGCTCAAGAGGGAGAGCCCGCGTCGCTCCGAGCTCAGATCTGCGCCTGGCACGTCGCCTCCCCCAAGTGCCCCTCCGTCGCGGCTGCTGGACTCCGAGCCCCTCCGCCTCCGCCGAGCTCAGGTCTGCGCCCAAGAGGGAGAGCCCCGCGTCGCTCCGAGCTCAGATCTGGGTCTGGCACGTCGCCTCCCCCAAGAGCCCCTCCGTCGCGGCTGCGCAGATCTGTTGTGCCGTCTCCGACTTTTTGTATTGTGTCTGGATAAGTTCATTGCAGGGGATGGAAGGCTTTGGTGGAAGATTTTTGCCGCGGCACAGAGGATGTTGCTGGTTTTAATTTACTGCACAAACATTCTTGTTCTTTATCTTGAGTCCCCCATATGCTGAGTTTTCTTTACTCCCAGCTAATGCTCTCCATCACTGAAAACTTCACTTGGCGAGCTCACACTCTCGGACTTCGCCGCGAAAGAATCCGCGAGATGGTTTAGTCGAGCGCTTTGATGGCGTCCCTGAAAGCCCCGCTCGTGTCGACCTGCGCGATGTCCATCGCCGTTGCCGCTCTCGGGGCTGCTATTCCATCTATCCCCGGCCCTCTGGGTCCTCGGCTGCCTCCCGCGCTGGGCTCACTCCTCTCGTGGTTCAGGCCTCCGTACCCCCTTCGTCGTCGTCAATGGCATTATCGCCGCCACCTCCAGGTGCTTCCGCCGCGCACAGCCGGAGAGGATCGCGATCGTGGTCGCAGAGGAGATAGAGGTCGTGGAGGCGACGCTAGCCGCGGAGGCGGCGTTCGATGAGCTTCAGGATTTTGAGGAGAAGAGGGTGGTGATGGTGGTGGTGGGGAATGGCGGGGGTGTCCGGCGGCGGAGATGGATATAATTGTGACTGCGAAGGGGAGAGGAAGGTGGCGTTCGGGAGGTCCGCTTCGGCACGGTGGAGGCGAGTGGACTTGTCGGAGAAAGCTCTGGTTTCGCCGGAGAGCCGCCGACGGCGACCACCTGCAAGTAAGAAGGGCGAAGTGAGGCGTTATGAATTTCGAAATTCGCATCACGTACGAGCAAGAAAGTGACCAGGATGACGGGGACGGTGTCTTTTGATATTTCGGTCAACGGATTCATGAAATCAAGTCAACATATTCACATAATATTGCTTTTTTTTCATGAGATTTAATTTTTTGATGCCATTCGTTAGTTGAAGTTGAATGCGCAAAATCTTAAGAGGTTTAAGGTGTTAAAGTTGGGAGATTGCTCGGATCTTTCGCTAATTAAAATCGATGCTCCGAGCCTTCGCTCGTTTTATTTCTATGGTCAAGTACCTCTCTTCCTCTTTGAAGATATATCGTAGCTGATGCAGGTTGTGTGTTCAGGGAGGCAGACTTACTAGTTACAAGTTTTAGAGAGCGTCTGAGTCTGTGATTTAAGCATTTATTCGTCTTCAAGAAGAGTCTGGCAATCAAGCATGAAAATGGAAGCAACAACATCTGAATCACCCACCCTTTTTTTTCTCATTTTCTTGTTGCAATAAATTGGACTTTGCCTACCCGCTTAATAATTTCAAATTTTGTTGCATAGTCTTTTACAATCTGTAATTACAAGATGCGTTTTTTTATCAGGTTGTTCCTGTATTTAATTGTCAAGAATAACATCAATCTTCTTAAATTCATACCCAAGAGGTGTAATGCCCTCCATTTTATAGGATGAGATTGGCGAATTTAGGTAATCTCAGAACAGCACATGACTGTTTTTCAAGCTGACGATAAAGTTATCGAATGTTGAAACAGAATCGTTTGCTTTCAGAAAATAACTTTTGACAACGTTTATTGATCCATCATTTGTTTGATCATGTCATGATCTAAAAAAGCAATCAAAAAGTGAACGATTCAGGAATCATCTCTAAGGTAGCAGCCCTAAAACCCTATACCTTTCCATGACCCTTGGAGATATCAATGCAAATCACCAAAGATTCAAAGTTAAAATTGTCAAAAGCATACAAAAGTGATGGTGGTGGTGCAAGTCAGGCCACAGATTTCAAAGTGATCACACACAAGAACAGATGAAACAAAGATAAGAATAGAACAACAGAAGCAAATATATCATTGCTTAGGTTTATTACACAGAACAAGGAGAGTGTGCAGGATTAACTCTGCACTCCTCTCTCATGTTTTTATCAGCATGGGAAGCGCCACAGGATAGCCCATGGCCCTTCAAACAACTCGGAAATCACCTAAAAATCTGTCTCTTTACAATGTACACAAAAAAAATAAGCTTATGAAGCCAATCCATCCTCAATGAAACATTTGAAGAAACCGCAGCTCAATGATTCTTTCTACATGTTCATCATAACCCTATTCATCGTCTCTCCGTCTCTCTCCCCGCCTAATCTGTGTCAACCAATCTACAACAAGAAATTTATCTACACTCTACAGAACCCAGATCTGGAGCACTAAACTGATTAATTCATATCTCAGTTTCCATGAACAGACCTCTCCGGGTCCACTGCCTTCATTGGGCGAGGCGAACAGCACCGTCGTGACATCCACGAGCTTCCTCCAGCTGATACACAACTTGAAAGTCCTCAACAGGGCGTTCGGGGCTTCAATCTCCTTGCAGTCACTCGAGTTCTGCGGATCGATTGAGTTCCTGAACACGCGGATCTTCGCGGGCATCGTGTACGCAAAATGGCACTGCTTCGCCACGACAGTCTGCAGCAGAAGAAACGAATCAACCGCCGCCCCGCAAGAAACAAATTGAGCATAGAAAAATTGCAATACTATTACTACAGATGAACTTACAGCTTCTTTGATTGTCTTGGACATGCGAACCAGCTGCTTCAAATCGCCATGCACAACGTGACCGAGTATCCTAATCTGTTAAACCCAAAATGCTCAATCATTAAAACCCGTTATAAATGATCATATCATAATCCAAACCGCGCATTGATTTAAGCAGCATTCGAGCAAATCGAAAGCGCAAGCCAACTCACCAGAATGTCCTGAGGCAAGGCTTCGAGACCGGACTTCTCGGAGCCGTCGAGCAATGGCCTCGCGCTGCACTGCCTCTTCAGCGGAGCTCTAAACTCCGCCGACTCGGCCCGCCACGCCGCCGCATCGGGGCCCTCCGAGATCCCGACCCTCTTCCTCCCGAGACCACGCGTGCACCTCACGAGTCCGAACCCCAATGCCTCCTCCCCATCCCTCACCTCGCTCTGCCCCCCAACTACGCATGCCTTCAAGTCCGACACCATATCGCCGCACAACGCCATTTCTACTACTCCCCCCTCTGCAGAAACCAAACCGTAGTCAGTCAGTCAGTCAAATGAAGAACACCCACAAACAGGAAACGAACGAAGCGCGCAAAACCGCGCAACAAAACCACCGTCCGAGAACGAATTCGTCGGACATCGAAGGAGCTAAAAGACACGAACCTGGTCGGATTCGATCGATTCGTGTGAAGTGTGTGTGTTCGTGAGTGATTTCGCTGCTTCTCCTTCACGCTTTGCGTCAAGAAACCATTTGACGGTGCTGCTCAAGCACACAGTAAAGAAAACTCAGCATATGGGGGACTCAAGATAAAGAACAAGAATGTTTGTGCAGTAAATTAAAACCAGCAACATCCTCTGTGCCGCGGCAAAAATCTTCCACCAAAGCCTTCCATCCCATGCAATGAACTTATCCAGACACAATACAAAAAGTCGGAGACGGCACAACAGATCTGCGCAGCCGCGACGGAGGGGCTCTTGGGGGAGGCGACGTGCCAGACACAGATCTGAGCTCGGAGCGACGCGGGGCTCTCCCTCTTGGGCGCAGACCTGAGCTCGGCGGAGGCGGAGGGGCTCGGAGTCCAGCAGCCGCGACGGAGGGGCACTTGGGGGAGGCGACGTGCCAGGCGCAGATCTGAGCTCGGAGCGACGCGGGCTCTCCCTCTTGAGCGCAGATCTGAGCTCGGCGGAGGCGGAGGGGCTCGGGATCCAGCAGCCGAGACGGAGGGGCTCTTGGGGGAGGCGACGTGCCAGATGCAGATCCGAGCTCGCAGCGACGCGGGGCTCTCCCTCTTGGGCGCAGATCTGAGCTCGGAGCGACCGGCGAGGCTCTTGGGAGAGGCGGAGGCGGAGGCGAAGGCGAAGGCGGAGGCGGTAGAGAAAGAGAGAGAGAGAGAGTGTGTTTTGGTTGTTCTTCCGCAGGAGTGCAGGTAAAGAAGGGCCTTGGAAATTGAAAAGAGGAGAGAGAGAGGGGGGTAAGTTTTAGGCGGGAGCTGAATTTTTCAGCTCTGTCCCCACGTAGAGAAAAGAAAGCCTTTTTTCAATTTTTCAGCAAGTCCAACTCAGCGCCACGTGTCTCCCGTTGAGTGGAGCCAACTAAGCTCACGCACGCCACGTAGGCGGATGACCTTGTGCGAGCTTACCACTGAATATTTTCTCACCTGGGAGACATCTCATCACATCGCGACCACCTTCGACGTCGCAGGATCGCTCCGGTCTCGAGAGCGAAACGAAGGTCAAGTCCATTTCGGAGTTTCATGAAGTTCTCGCACGTCCATCGCCGCTCGACTCGATCCCATGCTCGCCAACCTCGCTCGCAAGGCCCTGCTTCATGCTAGGGTGATCCTTGCGCTCCCCAACGCCGGAGCTCGAACCCTGCTCCGGCCGGCCTCGACCTCCTCGGAATCGCGCTCCTTCACGGTCTCCTACCTCGTCAATGCCTGCGGGTTGTCTCCGGAGTCCGCCCTTTCGGCGTCGCTGCGCGTCCGCTTCGAAACCCCTTCGAGGCCCGACTCCGTCCTGGGTTTGCTCAAGGAACGAGGTTTCTCTCCGACCCAGATCTCGGACGTCGTCAGCAGATACCCCACGGTGCTTCTAGCGAGCCCGGATAAGATTCTCTTGCCAAAGATCGAATTTTTGCGCTCCCGGGGCTTTTCCGATCCTGATCTAGCCAGGGTCATAAGCGCAGTACCGAGGATATTGGCCAGGAGTTTAGAGAAGCATTTGAGGCCTACTTTGGATTATATAGGCGATGTGGTGCAATCCGGTGAGAATGCTGTTGCAGCCATCAAACGTTATCCGAGGATTTTGTATGAGTCTCCGGGAACTCAACTCATTCCCAAAATCACGACTTTGAGGAATAATGGAGTGCCTCATAAAAACATTGGGCACTTTGTTCTGTACCATGGGCCGAGATTCCTGGTATCGACTGAACAGTTCGATGAGGCTGTGGATAGGGTGAAGGCGCTGGGTTTTAACCCTTCGAAAGTGGGTTTTGTCACGGCTTTGCATGTGATTAGGTGCATGAGCGAGTCGTCGTGGAGGAAGAAAATCGGTGTGTATGGCAAGTGGGGTTGGTCGGAGGAGGACGTTGCTTTGGCTTTCAGGAGGCATCCGTGGTGTATGGCAGTGTCGGAGAGCAAAATTACGAAAGCGATGGACTTCTTTGTCAATGAGATGGGGCTTGATTCTTTGCATATCGCGCGGCGTCCGGTGGTGATCTCGCTGAGCTTACGGAAGCGAATTGTTCCTCGGTGTTCAGTGTTTCGAGTCCTGTTGTCTAAGGGCTTGGTCCATACCCATAGCTTGGCTACATCCTTGATAATTCCGGAGAGGAGGTTCCTAGAGGAATTCGTGACCCGTTATTTGGGAGAAGCACCCCAATTGTTGGATCTTTATAAGGAGAAGATGGGTCTTGCAAACTAGTTCTGAGCTTTACGAACTTGTTCGGGCTAATCTAGGATCCTTATGAAAGCAAAAGAAATTCTACTCCTGCTGTTTTGGGCTATTTCTGATAATTGGGAAGCTGGGTTTTCTGTACTTACCTTCTTTGTTTCATCCCTGCAGTTCTCCATGTCTAGCTGTGTTCTATCATAAGATGTTCTGTCATTTTAGGAATAGTATGCTCGCTCATGAAGAAAGCTTTGCTCTAATTGAAACTAAAGTAATTCACTGCTGATTGTTGAGTATGTAGTCCGACTTTACTTTAGTTTAAACTAAACTTAGCACTTTTACTCTTTATTTATATGTATTCCTCCAGTTACCTATTGCACGCTCATTGATCTTCATGTGAGACCAGTTTTATTTATTTCAATTCTCTGATTAGACTTTGCTATAGCTTCTCTTTATTCTACCTCCAGAAAAACATGGATATATTGGTAAGTTTGTGGTTGCTCTAGCTTCATGATAGGGTTGCCATCTGAATGCTTATTGAAATTGCTCCAATTTGTACTATCACTGGATTCCATCCTTTCATGTATGGATCTTGGGCTTATGATATGATATCATAAGAGCTGAGTATTCTGCGTCATTGCTTGTTTTGGGGGTTGATGTTGCTGTGTTATTGGTCCTGTTTTATGTGAGCCTATCAGTGTGTCAAGAGGCTAATAGATCAGAAGTTAATTTTTAAAATCTCTGTAGCTGATTCATCTACCTTGTCTAAATTGACTTTCCGAGCTGTTGATTGAGCTTATGCAGCAAATTATCAGATCTTTATTGTTGCTACTCTGATGAGAATACGAAGCGTGTGGAAGATTCACTGAGCTGTAAGATGGCCTGCTTTTCTGCAAGCTTTCCCACCATCAATCGCTAGAGTGGCTAACCTCGTTTGATTCATGTAATTATGTCTTTTCGAGCTTAAACTGCCGGGGATCACAAAGTTGCAACCCAACAAGAAGTTATGTTAATGAAGAATACATCCATTAACTCCTCTTTTTCTTCGGTCTTCAGTGGCACAATGAACTTCCTCATGGCATCCATGGCTTTTGACATGAGAGATTGTCTTGCATCAAACAGGCGAGTTTCAACACTTGCAAGCATCATGTGGATTGCGGGTTTCGGCCGTTCGGTGAGTTTCGGTTTCGATGTTTTGGCTAAAATGTTTATCACTTGAACGAATCATTTGTTGAAAGTAGCCTTCTATGAGAAAGTGGCTTTTATTTCATAGACATTAAGGGGGGTAAAATTTCTGCTTTGCTATATAGCTTGCTGTTTAATATGAAGTATTCACTCCTCTCTCCTCCTTGGAGAGTAGAAGAATCCATTTTCGCATGCTTAATTCTTAACAAACATGGTCTATTTAATAAAACAATCGACATGTCTTGTCGTGCCTCTAATCTTTCTAAAGAGAGTTGTGGTGGAAATTGTTAACCAATTTGGTTGCGGTCTGTGAACTCATACCTAGGCAATAGCTAAGGTCAACCAATCGTGTCCCTTGACCAAGTCCTTGGAACAGTTTGATCACCTCTTTTGGCAACGCGAGCTTGCTTCACTTTGCATGCTCGTGTCACCCTTGAAACCGTATCTGGTCGTTTTACTTTAGTGCGACTCGTCTACAGTGGTATATCTATCTCGAGCTGTGATATATGATTTCTATTCGATGAATTTACGCTTTGTTGCATAAACTATTGCTAGCGAAAACATCGAGCTGGATGCTTTTGCGCAACATTTTGCTCTCACAAGGCCGGAGCATCTTTCCAATTGCCTAGGTTGATAACTTCACCATTCTTTTTTCACCAAACTGGCCTTTTCGAATGGTTTTAGTTTCCAAATGAAGACTGAAAATGGAAATGGAGGGATTTTCCATAACCGAACAACGTAGAACCTTGGCGTTCTTTTGTTTCTTCTTCAATTCACATGAGATGATGCTCTCCTTGTCACGGGACTTCTATAATCATTCGAGAAATCGAGTCTTGATAAGTTTGTAATTGTTGGATCGCAAAGTAATAGATCTCTTTGTCGATTGAAAACTTTGAAAACTTTTGCGTGTTGCAACTTTTGTTGAGGCGTTACTTAAAATGTATGATTATGCAGGTCCCCTTTTGTCATAGTCTATGTTCTGTCTTTATACTTCATCATCCCTTCATTATATTTACTCGAGGTTAAAGATCGATGAGAGGTGAAAGTATCTTATGCAACTGTGGTATCACATATCACGGTCCAATCCTGTACTATATACCATGCGAACCAAGGAAAAGGTCTCTCTTTACCATATAAGTAGAGCGCACTAGAAATTTCAAATGTGATAAATCCAAGCAGATCTTGATGTTTCCGAATATAGCCTTCGTCCTATACTTTTTACCATCCTGGATATTACCAAACATTGTAGATATAGAAGTTCATGCTGTCATGACAAATTACTGTATATGTGCGCCGACACCAGTGTTGCTCGTATAGAATTTTTAGAGCTGAGGTACTACTTCCAGGTTTTATAAGTCAACGCTTGGATAAAAATTTGCTTTTCTGCAATGGTATTCGTGTTAAAAATCCACACGCATATGCGTAATCGATTTACTCTATGGACTTCAGTTTCTGGTACTATTACTTGGTTTGCCAAGAACGATCATAACTTCCATGAGTCCAAAAGCAGAGCAAGGGCATGCATGTTACCTGAATCCGAAACTGCGATCGTGTTTAAGGATCTTGGGGCAGGTCCTCCTGAACCGTCAGATCTCTCTTTTCGATCTCGTTGGCGGCCATTCGTCAAAACCGACCCCCACCTTAGCCCGGAGGACCTGGAAGCCGGCATCGTTCCACTTGACTTCCCAATGGCCATCCCCATCCCTCACCAACCGACCAGTGGACGACGGGTAAAGAGAAAGGAAAAGGAGATCTGCTTAGGGTCCAAGTCGAAAGACCGGAACAGGCTGACCCGGTAGTAGAAGATCGAGCGGACCGAGTGGCGGCCCATTGCGTGGTCCTGCGCGGATAGCTTGTGGGCCTGATCCGGTCCGACCGGCTTGCTGGATACTCTGCCGTTAGAGTCGATTGGATCTATACCCGGCTCTCACTAGAAGAGTCCACCATTCTCTAATTTTGCTTGCACCAATTTTTTCTTTTTTGGTTTATTGGTTATGCGAGAGAAAGATCAAAGTGCTCCTTGCGCAACAGAATGAAGGATTGGCCACATTTATAAATAAGAGAACTCGTACAAAAAACTTGTTTAAGGTTCAAGTTCCATATTTCAGGTTCAAGGTTTTAGGGCCTAACACTTGAAACCTATCCTGTATATCTAAGAATCTGGAATCTACAATCTACAAATTCCCACCAATCAAGTTCTTAAATTTCGGGTTTTACCCTAGTGAAGGAGGGATAAGGTAAAGGAAGGAGAAGGTGTCGTTTGAATTCATTTAGCGGGCAACTTTTTCAAGAAAGCACAAAGAAACTGCAGATAAAGCATCATATGACACGAGCTTTCAAAATGTCATAGCACACATGACGGCCGTTAATTACATAGAATTCCTTAAAAAAGGGAGTAGATTACAGATTGGTTAGAAACTTGTCACTTCATTTCTTTCATTGGCCAGAAGAAACCTTGTCTCTTCATCTAGCAGACAAGTTTTTGCAGACCTTTCTTAAGTTTGTCATGCACTTCTCACCCCTTTTTACCACATCAAGCGCAAATATGGAATCAGACATCTACCTTAGGATGCCCACGGGAGCCAAGTTCTGGTACGAAGCATGCCATACTCCACCCAGGAAGAAAAAGAACACATTTTTTCAATGCAATTGTAAGAGCAGGAGGGCTCAGATTTGAGTACCGAACATTAATTCACCAAAGCAATGCCGCTAAATGTTGCTCGGCAAGAGAGAACATCAATTCAACCACACATCGTCAATAGATCCTGTTCAGTAAGACATGTTTGTAATAAAGGTGTCACAACAATGCCAAAAGAAGTTGATTCTTCTCTATGACACAAAGTGATATAAAGTTATGCAGGACAATTGATCACTGTAGATCCATCTATCAGTAAGGCGAGCAAAATTTCGAGAGAAACTGGAGGATTTTTGCACTGATGACATTGCTTCCCCTTGATATAAAAATATCCAACATTTTCATTTTCTCTGACATCAATGGTCCTCGACCTTCTTTAGACCCTTCATGTCTGTTGTTTCCACCCTGCACAGCAAGCCAAAAGACGAAGAGCTATGAGATTCAGCAGAAATGCAGATCCAGATGAACGGATATTGCTTGCAGCAGCACTACCTAGGCTGTGTAGAGTGTGTATGGCAACTAGTACGCCAATAAGCAAAGATATCAAAAGGAAAGAAACAAGAAAAGTATAAATGAAGAGAAACAAAGCGATTGATGCACACCCAACCAAAGATTCACTAGATTAAAAAGACGGGAACAAGCCATTCAGGGAGGCCAAAGGCCAGGCAATCGAGAAAAAGTGAAAAGGAGGATTGTCTTTCACCTCCCAAGAGAAGAGAAATGCAGGTTGATTGAGTTGAGTTGAAAGCTATAGGAGTTGCTCAAGTCCCACATCTAATATCAAGCAACCTTCAATAGCATTCGCAGGACAATTGCTATTTGGGCAAACGTAGTAACTAAGGACCTGTTTTTTATTTTTTTATTTTCGGGTCGAAACTGAGGACCTGTTTAATAACCCAATTAAGTGTTGAAAACTGAAAATTCAGCCCTTAAATAGCTTGATCTTGTTTGGGTAACCTTAATTAGTATTGACTTATTAGACCCAATTAAGTCAAAAATCCAGTTGGGATTTCTTAATTCATTCAATAGCAAAAATAGTTGACGATAACTAAAACCGACCAACAATTGTAATGGTTAAAACCTGCCAATAATTGTAATCGTTATATCTTCGGTAAAAGAATAGCTATTATTTTTCAATTATTGTCAAGTAATCTTTTATTTTTAATACTTAAAATTCAGTACTTAAACTTACAACACTTAATTTTCAGTTTTATCAAAGAAGCCCCAAGAGACATTCCAATTTATCTTTCACCAATTCTACCAAGCATAACCATATGGAAAACAACACAAATGGTTCATGATCTTTGGCTCAACGTGCATTGTGGTCCTTGAACTTTTAATTTGTTCAATGTAATCCCTGAACTTTTGATACATGTTCAATCTAGTCCCTGAACTACATGAAATGGTTCAATGTTGTCTTTAAACTTGAAGTAATGGAAGGACAGCATTGAACACTTACATATACTCCAGGGACTAAATTGAACATGTACCAAAACTCTAGGGACCACATTAAACAAATTAAAAGTTTAGAGACGACATTGCACATTGGGCTAAAGTTTAGGGGCTACATTGAACAAATTAAAAGTTTAGGGACCACATCGCTCATTGCGCCAAAGTTCAAGGACTATTTGTATCATTATCCCCATAACCATACATCATGCCACTCCTCAGGCTTTTTGTGGATCATATGTAAAGTCGCCCTAAGTTCTTTTAAGCCGTGGGCATATTCAGATACAACCTAATAGTATCTAATACATTCCAAATGCAATCAAGATTCCTTATAATCCAGCCTAGGCCTAGAACCCCATTTTGCCCAACAGATCATAGATAATTGTTAGACCAGCCAATCTGCTTCGACTGTCTTTAACAATGATCCATTCTTTCTTTTCCTTGCAAACTCCTACTTTTGTTCCCCTCTTTTGCAAATCGTCCAGTATCTATTAATCTTGCCAATTCGCAAGCATAACTTCATGGGGCTAAAAGGGATGTCAATAGCTGTTTTTTTTTTTTTTTGGTAAGGAAGATGTCAATAGCTGTTACTCTTTGCAATATCTATTAATCTTCCCTTACGCTGCCCTGCCTTACACCCAACCACTCACTACACTTATGTTCATGACATTGCAGTTGAATATCTTGATAATGACAATGGACATACACAAGCTACAAAACTATCACTTCAGTGGGATTATGTAGTATTTCATCCAGCAAGCAGCCATCACAATTTACAAAAGCAAGTTTAATAGGCCAGAAAACTCCAGAAACTAACGCTGGCCAGTACCCATCTCTTTTGAGTCTAACTTCCTTTTTCCAATTAAGCGTTTATCTCTTTCATCCCTTTCCTTCTTAACTCTGATTGTTGCACCAAATGCATGTGATTATTAATCCACAAATAGGGAGAACATACGTGGTTCCATGCAGCGCAATCTTCTGTACTTTTGTGATTTCAGAACCAGACTGATTGTCTTCAATAAAGATGGTCAAGCTGAAACACATTTAAAAAGAGAAATATGTCAAAAACTGCAAATCATGAAAGAAAGTAAAATTAGGATATCAACACTTAATTACCTGCGAACATTTTGAAATTTGACATACTTTAAGACAACTGGCTTTCCCTACACAAAAGAACAGCAAGTTCTTAGAAGCAGACATTAACAATCATTATTCTCACTTTAAAAATCATAAGGATGAAATTAGTACTAAGATGCATCTTTCGGATATCTTAAGTGCAACAACTCAGCGAAGAATCTGTCAAATAACTAACAAAAGCAGGACCTCTACCTTAAGATTATCTTCTGATAAAACTGCTGTGTCACTTGGAGGGAAATCATTGACATTGCTGCCATATTCATTGTCAGAAAGAGGAACAATAAGATTCTTCCTTCATCAACGTAAAATCAAATCAAGCAATCATCAGGTTATCTCACCTAAAACCCATGTGTTCTCTGTTAGAAAACAGCTTCACTGTCTTAGGACCTAGATAAAAATTCGCTCGTTAAAATTCTCAAAGGTGTGTAATTCTACATGCTTGATCAAAACTGCATCGGGGAAAGATAGCCACCATAATCATTATACCTTCCTCTTCAGACGCTTTTACGACAAGAGCGTACAATTTGACCACTTGGGTGAAAGGTATATAAATTAAAAGCTGTTCATCTGCATCACTCTCTAGAAGCAAACCATCATCTTCTCTGTAACCCTATTCAAAGGAAAAAAAAAGGCCATAAGAACAAATCCATGCCTATAACTATGAAATATCGTTTGCATGTCAAACAATGGAGACCTACGTACTAGAGAGCTTCTATGATGCCCAATCAAGAGTTCGACAGTTCATGTGAAAATTTCAATGCCCAAACTTAACTTCAAAGTTCGGCAAACAACGGTCTCCAGTCATCAACAAAGGTATAAACATAAACAGAAAATGAAAGGACAGGAGCTTTCAAATTTTTGAACCTGTCAAATTGTGTTCTTCAACGTAACCTATGAAAATTATATATATGAAGTACTCTTTCAGTCCTAACTTCTAACTGCATGATGTGTAAAGTCAAATTAGTTATTTTTCACCTTAGAGCCCCCTTGTAGATAGATATATCTCGGTGCTATAGGTTTTGACATAGACATCAACAAAGACAAAAAATGACCAATGATAAAACATAAAAAACATTCATAAAATCATCCATAAAAAATAAGTTTTTCTATGATTGAACATATATTAAATTTCGTTAAGGATGAAAAGTGCAGAAGGAGGTATCTTATACAAATCCGACACAAATTTGCTACTACATGAAGCCTAGTCCCTAAAGTTTATCCTGTCTTGCACTTAAGCCCCTATTGCTAAACTGCTGGCTCTGAAGAATTCAATTTGATTGATTGGTTGCTCCCTCCATCTCATGTAATGAAAATATTGATAATGAAGCTGAAGGAATCCAACAAATATGAACAATATAATTGTGATCTGGCTCTCTAAAGGATTCTTTTGATAAAAAAAAAACATGTACCACATCATCCAAAATGTGGTTGAGAGACCAATAGATGTAAAATTATTTACATTCCCAGTGGCTCTTCCAAAAGCGAGTATGTCCAAGTCTAAACATTGACTAATTTTAAACTTCAGAGACTAAACCAAAAAGCTATTTTTCGAAAGTGTGATGGCCAATCTTTAAGGACCATCAGTTGATACCTGCTATATTCCCCTTGAATTGCAATATTCAAAAATGGAGAATTGATTATTTTCCTTTACCATTATGTATCAACCAAACACTGCAAGCAATTGGAAGCCCGCAACCTGGAGTGACAGCACAAGGACATCGACCTAACGGCTCCAATTACAGCTTCTACATAATTTTGTCCATTAAAAAAGAAAAAAAGAAAGCATATTAATCCCAATTCGACAGCGGCAAAGACGGACCTAAGGGGGCCTCAGCGCCACCGCCCTCGGGCCATCTGCCGGGCAGTGTAATTTTTTTCAGTAATTGTCTACTATACAGTACATGAAATCTAATACGGAGTTCATGGGTTTTTGGGTCCCCCCCAAGTTCAGATTTTGCAGGGTCTCTCGGTCTCGAAACCTCGCCAACCCTAATCAAAAGTTCACCCCCGCCCGCCGCCACTGCTTCGCGGGTCCGAAAACTCACGACTTAAAAAAACCGCCCCAAATCACAAAACTCAAGGCGAGATAATGAAAAAGGAACACCGAAGTAGTAGCCGTTCACCAACCTGCTTGAGGGCGTTGGGGAGGGAGTGGGTGGCGCTCTGGTTGAGGCATTCGACGCCGGACCAGTCTATGAAGTCCGACAGGTCAACCTGGGGGACAACAAGTCAAATCGCCCCGCAACCCGAGAAAAAACACACACAACTTCCGACAATCAGATCCTCCGCATGTCCCAGCCGCGCACGCGCGCGCACGCACACAGAGACAAAGAATACGAAGAAGGTACCTGATTCCTTTGGATTGCGTTGGCCGATTGTGCAGACATGGCCCAGGAATTCGTCCCGATCGGAGAGAGCTTTCGCAGCGAAATTGGAGCGCAGCGATTTCGGATGCTTCGGCGAGCGAGAGAGAGAAGAGAGAGAGAGAGAGAGTTTGCTTTGAAGAGAATTCGGGGGAAAAGGGGAACCTTCGCGAGCGGAGCGACGGCGTCGTTTCCCCTACTTGGGAATTTCTAAGGTACCCCCGTTTCCACGGGAAACTTCTTTCTTCTTTTTTTTCTTCTTTTTTTTTTTTCATAACCCGGGCTTACGATGTTTTTGTACTTAATGAAGACATTGCGTCTCGTACGGTTGTCTGGTACGTCGATTGTACTGTAGAATGAAAATGGTATGGTTTTAATCTGACGAGCTAGTTAGGGGAATCGCGACGGGCGCATTTTGATTTGTGTGTGATAAATAGTGTATCTGTTTGACTCCGTGCCCAAAAATCTAGGCCCGAGCATAAAGAAGTGTATGTGATGGCTAGGACCGGGCCATGACAATGCACTTAAACCATGAGGCTCAATCGATGGATGACAAGCTCATTGATCATTAAGTCCGTGATTATACAAGCGACTCATAAGGCCTATCAATGGAATGTCTGATAAGCTCATCGATCGGTAGCTTACAATTGATAGAGTTTAAGTGGAGGCATGACATGTGGCCACGATTGAATGATCCTAAGCATGCGCCAAAGTTGAAGACTGAATCAAGGAGAATCCATCACTTCAGGAATAAATGCAGCTAAGTAGTCAAGAGCGGTTACGAATCATTTTCAAATGGTACTAGGGATGGAAGACCGCCACCTCAGTCTTGCGCGCAAGAATGTGCAAGAAGATACTTTTGATTGATCCACTCGAATCGTCTTAGAAATTCAGGATAAAGCTTTTAGTGAAATAAACGAACGTTTGAGGCCTTGGACGCAAGCGTTAGGAATGAAAAGGTCAAACGAGTCGAACACATTACAAAAAAGAATCTACACTCTGGCAATATGGTAAAAAGAAAAGGAATTCGAATCGTTAATTATCTTGATTAACAAAATGGGATGCTGATAATAACAATTCGTGGAGTTTTCGAAAGGACGATCGATCCCATGACTAACAAAGTGGTTGAACGAGCAGTTTAAGCCTTAGAGTTGACCTTTGAAAGATAGGGAATCATCCATAACGATTGCAAAACTGAGGTCAGAAGACTTATCGATTCTGTTAAAGGCAAAATGAATGTAAGGATAATTCGTCGATAAGGCTCCCGGAAGAAAGCCAAATGCAGCGTGCAGGAACAATGGCCATGTCAATGAATACATTCCTGTTAAGATTGATCCAACTAACAAATCCCTCGCGAAAAATGGTCATTCCATGGATCGTAATACAGAGGCAGTTGTTGCTGCTGGAGAGTGCCCATCATTCAAATTTGGGATTGTGAACTTAGGTCCACTTCGACCAAAAAAAAAAAAAACTTAGGTCCACGGCATACACATTTTTAAAAAATGTTTTGATAAACTAATTCATAGGATCTATTTCAGACTTTCATAGATATACTATACTATGAAATCGAGGAAAAAATTTCATGCTAAATACATGCATAAACAAGCCAAATAATAGCGACTCCAAATAATAGTGACTCCATGGTTATCAAAATATACATTGCTTGGGAAAATTTCATAAAAAAACCTAAATCATGTGCATGAATTGCAATCGAGTCCTAAACGTTACAATGAATGCAATCGAGCTCTAAACTCTTATTGGAAGGTGCAATCGAGTCACAAATTGGCCCAATTCCCTAAAAAACCCCCAACTTTAGCCTTTGTCCCAATTATATCCCAAATTTTTTTTTGTCTCATAAAAAACCCCAAACTTTTACTTTTGTCCCAAATCTACCCGCTTACTATTCATCCAATTTTTAATATTATTTTTATTTTTTCGAATTTTTCTTTTCTTTTTTTTTGTTTCACTTCAACCTTTCGACCGGTCGCGTCACCCGGCTGGACCGGCCTGTAGGCGAGGGCCACGAGGTCGGCCCCGTCGCCGGCCGGGCGAGGCTCGGCCTCGCCCAAAGAACCTGCCAGGCCGACCTCGCCATCGGCCCCGCCGGGCCGCGGCGAGGTCGGCCTCGCCCAAGAATCGGCGAGGTTCAGCCTCGGCCGACCTCGCCCGGCAGACTGGCAAGGCCGACCTCGCCCAGGCTGCCGGCGGGCCGAGCCTCGCGCAGGATCTGGGGGGGCCCGGCCCCGCCGGCCGTCGGCGAGGTCGGCCTCGCCCGGTAGCTGGCGAGGCCGAGCCTCGCCGAGGCGGGCGGGGGCCGACCTTGCCGGCCACTCGCCTCGAAATTGAGTCACTAGGATCGGCGACCAAATCGTGAGGTTGAAGTTGAAAAAAAAAAGAAAAAAAAAGAAAAGAAAAAATAAAAAAATTCGAAAAAATAAAAAATAATATTAAAATATTAGATGAATAGTAAACGGGGTAGATTTGGGACAAAAGTAAAAGTTTTTGGTTTTTTATTAGACAAAAAAAAGTTTTGGATATATTTAGGACAAAGACTAAAGTTGGGGGTTTTTTAGGGAATTGGGCCGTCACAAATTAATACCAAGGGTTGTATTTCCTCCAATAAGCTCTTATTACCCTCGATCCATTATTTGGGTAGATTTGTTTACATATTACCTATTTTAAAATTAAGTGTAATCAAAGTTTAATGTAGCCAATTTTCACTTGACACATCGATAATTTTCGGCATTCTTCATCGACAACAACACCGCATTGCATAATTTGATAAAAAAAATTAGGAATTGATTATACAAAATAAAAAATTTAAAAACAAATATTATACATAAAATTTAGGATCCTATGGATATTCAAGAGAAAAAAAAGGGCAAAAAAGGCATATTTTTGACATATCCCCAAACAGCATAAAAAAAAAAAGGAACAAAAAAAGAGGATGAGCAGCAGTAGCAAAGACCAGCCTCCCATTGCTCTCTCTCTCTACCCCCTCTCTCTCTCTCCTCGCCATGGCCACCGCCGCCGCCGCCGCCGCCGCCGCCGCATTACCTTCCCTCTCCTCCGCTGCCTCCACCTCCCGCCGCCTCCTCCTCCGCACCCCGAGGGCCCTCACCCCGCGCGGCCCCCGGCCGAGACGGCCCTTCTCCGTCAAGGCCCTCTCCGCCCCCGCCCTCACCCAGGACGACCTCAAGAAGCTCGCCGCCGACAAGGCCGTCGAGTACGTGCGCAGCGGCATGGTCCTCGGCCTCGGCACGGGCTCCACCGCCGCCTTCGTCGTCGCCAGGCTCGGCGACCTCCTCAAGGCCGGGGAGCTGAAGGGCATCGTCGGGGTCCCCACGTCGAAGCGCACGGAGGAGCAGGCGCGGCAGCTGGGCATCCCGCTCTCCATCCTCGACGACCACCCGCGTATCGACCTGGCGATCGACGGCGCCGACGAGGTCGACCCGGACCTGAACCTGGTGAAGGGGCGGGGCGGCGCGCTGCTGCGGGAGAAGATGGTGGAAGCGGCGAGCAAGGAGTTCGTGGTGGTCGCCGATGAGACCAAGCTCGTCGACGGGTTGGGCGGGAGTGGGCTGGCCATGCCGGTCGAGGTCGTGCAGTTCTGTTGGAAGTACAATCTGGTAAATGTCTCAGACACTGAATTCGATCGGTCCGTTACACCATGTTAATAGGCTTCGAATTCAGGGCAAATGGTTCAGAATGTGGCGAAAAAGGCGGAATTTTTATTTGTAATTGTGAAATTATTGCGCTAGGAGGGAAAAAAACTTGCTTTGAGGATTTAAGATGAGTGTAGGAAAATGGACTATTCGATCATGAAATGGGCTGTTAGATGGGTGATGGTAACAGGAAATCTTTGTTCCTCGACCGGTTAGATAATCATTGTGGTTAGCGGGAGTTAAGATGAGTGTTGGAGAATTCGAATTGTGAGTTCAGTTCTTAGACGGATTGGATGTGTCATATCAGTTAAGCAGAGACAATTCATCTTGTTTCGAAGATAATGTCTCGGAAAAAAAACTCGAAAATCGGCTTTGTATTTCGTTTTTCAGTCAGCAAGTAAGTGAAGATGTGACCGGATGGTTTTGGTTACTCGTTAAATTCAAGGCACGAAGTCAGAGCGTTTTAAGTACTCAGAAACTCTGCATTAGTTGTAGTTTAGAGGACAATGCATTGTCAGTACTCGGTCGTCATTTTGTGATCCAACTGAAATCGACAGAGAATTTAGCTAGCAGGAATTCGTCATGATACTATTCAGTTCTTGATGTTGCGAGAAGCTGATCCATTTCGGGATTCTGATGTTGATAGGTGAGACTTCAAGATTTGTTCAATGAACAAGGGTGTGAGGCAAAGCTACGTTTGAATAAAGACGGGAAGCCTTACGTGACGGATAACTCAAACTACATTGTAGACTTGTATTTCAAGACTCCAATTAAGGACGGTCCTGCCGCAGGAAAGGAGATATCTTCGCTGGAGGGAGTGGTGGAGCACGGCTTGTTCTTGGACATGGCAACTGCCGTGATTATTGCTGGAAAAACCGGTGTAGATGTGAAGACGAAGTAACATTTTTGCCCTGCAGTCACCTTGGTGAGAATTGTAATCTTCATTAGATTCACATAGATTGTATTTTGCATCTCTTTAATGTGTAATCATGTTCAATTTGTTCTAGACGACTCAAATGTCCAGATGGGTCCTCCCATGCTTACATTGTAAATCATTCAATTTGCGGCGACCCTTGTAACGCTCATTATCAAGCCATTTCGAATATACTCTGCTCATCAGTTTCTGCTGTTATGATAGATAATTGCATTCATGGTTGTAACTTGTGAGTACACTCCTGTCAACTGTAGCATATCCTTCGTTTATTATTCAAACTTGCTAAAAAGACTATGGAAGTGATTCAACTGAAGGGAGATGAAAACAGTAGGTTTCTAGCATGAAGAAATTTGGCCTTCAATTTTGAACCGTCACATTTTTGCATGACTCATGTCTTATTTTTTATTTGGTCAGAATACATGTCTTATTAGATAACAGACTGTTTTGTTTTAGTTTTGTACTGAAGAAATTGAAATTCACAAATTCTGGCTATTGATTTAGAAATGGAGAGAATGTGACTAAAAGCTGGACCTGCTAATTGAGGATGTTAAGATGTCTAGGTTCATCTTCAGGATTCAGCAAAATTTGATGGATTTTATCTTTGTTTGTTTCCATTCTCCCTGTTTGCTGTTGCATGGACTATCAGTTGTCTACGATTTGTCATTTAATTTGGGACTAATGTTAGTTAAGCATCAGAATCTCTCTGTGAAGATCATATCTTTTTCTGTGAAATTATTTTGGGACGATGCAATGAGCCTGAATTTGGGCTAAACACAAGGAGAGTTTAATCCAAGACATGACTCATGATTTTGAAAAACAGTGCTATGCCTAGGGCGTCACTAGCTCCGTTTGCACCCGCGATCAAGATGTTTTGCAAAATGCCAGATTCATTCGATCCTAGAATGATTTCAAGCTTTGGAAGCCTCAATGAAAGCAGGAGCAAAATCACTCGTCTCTTTTATACATGTAATATAGCGTAGTGAAGTGTTAACCATACAATAGACATGTTTCTATAACAATTTTACACAAGAATGTCACTTCAACAAATAAAGAACAAAGTGCAACACAAGCCATTGCACGTATCGAAACTGAGTATAATCTATCTATACGTCTTTAGTACAACTCCAAGTGAAGACTTGGTCTTGCGATGCTCCCTTCTAGTTCCATAGAACCAAAGCCATAGACGCTGTGAAGATGGTCATCCACAGCAATTTCCCAGGAAGGAACATGTGGGCTGGTGAGAAATAAGAAATGAGGCATTAGGTCTGGTGAAAATTTCACTGGATTCTACTTCATAAATGCCCTGTTTAATGTTCTTAAAGGAAGTTGATGACTTGGATTGTTTTCATTCAACACCAAATGCACTGTCAAAGGCTATTCATTACTGTAGTAGGTGTGACTCTGTTATTAGCCGCCATTTCAGATTGAACTTTATGGTCATCAATGAGCACTGATTATGAAGGATGAACTTCTCTTTTTTGACTTACTGAACCTTAAAAAGCAAGTATCCTGTTCTTTGGAAAACTTGTTTTTGCCATAGAAAAAGATAAGATCAAGAGAGAGAGGTTTTTGGAATCTCACCGTAGCTTCCGCTGTCTGATCCTGTAGCAGATGAGTTGGAAAGTTTTATTCCGAGCTTTGAACAGTCATTACCGATTGCGCCTTCAGAGAATCCAACACGAGACACGTTAGAGGAAGGTATGCATGCGAGGAAAAACTGGGAATTAGTATGAATTGCAATCTTGAGTCTCTGAATATATATCTTACAATCATTGAAGCATGGGTAGACGCTGACATTCATGAGATTCGTGTAACCGGCATTGCACTGGCAAGTGTGCTCATAAGTTGCGGACTGTATGCACGTCCCTCCTCCACAATATATCCAGTAGCAAGCTAAAAATAAAACCCAGAAACCGCTTAGAATTTTTCCTACAATACGACTTATGTAGCAAAAGGATGAGCGAAGTGAAGATGATTTACGATCGAAGACAGATGTGTTGTATGGAACGGATGGGACCGGCGGAGGCGCGGGCATGCAGGAGTACTCAACAGAACCTGCAGAGAGAAGATTTGGAACTTAAGCATCTGTCCACAAAAGCAACACAATTTATATGAACCTCAAGCATATGGCTCTCAAAGTTGTATGTTTATGTGAGGAAATGCAGAGAGTTTGCAGATCAAACTCTCGAGCTTCGTGTTCGAGGATTAGTTTGTCTTTTTTCTCAGAGTCGCATCATCCATGTATTTTGCCATTTAACTCGAGCAAAAATTGGCAAGTTATACTTTTTTTCCCATTCTACTGCAGAGAACTAGTTAAATGATTTCTAGCTTCAAGGCAAAGTGTTTGCTTTATCTACTGTTCAATTCCTGCAACCTTGTGAAGACAGAGAGTGATTAGAGAAGAGTATTCTCACAGTTTGGAATGACACAGGGAAGGAACTTGAGGTTATCTTCATTGTCGAGGCGTGTCCGCTTCCAACCATCTTCGCACTGGCATTCGAAGGCAAATGGAGCGCTAGTGTTCACGACGCACGACCCCTTTCCACATTGCACTTCGTTGCACAGCTCCTCTGCAAAATTGATTGAAACCGAGCAAGAAGATCAGTCCATTATCGGTTGTTGTTATTGAACGCGATGAAGATATAAAAATCGGAAGCTGTTATTGCAGGCCCCGTGACCGGCGACAATAGCTGAGGAAGAAGTGTGCGCAATATATATACCAATGACAGGAGTCAAACTGTCAGCAGCAGTAGCAGCCATAGGCAGGAGCACAACAAGAAGAGCTAAAAAAGCCATGGTTGTGGAAGAAGCCATCTCCTCAGGAGCAGAGAAAATATGAGAGAGGGGGAGCGAGAGAGAGAGGGCTAGGAGGTGAGTAATGTATTTGGGTGTTCTACAAGGTTGTGGAGATTGAGATTACTAAACCTTTTCATCGTATATATACACACACATACAAAAGGAGATTGGTGACCATTGACATTGTTGTTAAGGAGGATATGATCAGTAGAGAAGCTTCTTCGGATATTAGAATGCATCAACGTTTGAAACGGGTTGTTGAGGTTGTAATTTATTAAAAACTCTTCTAGAGTTACACGTTTTTCCTTTACTTTGAATTCTTGGTTGGAGGTGTATTATTTCTTGTTCCCCTTTGAATAGTTCAACAAAAAACAAACATCAGTTTTCCATAGGTTCTCATGTCATGTTTGACTTCATTTTGTTTCTGTTCTAAAATAACACCGGATATAAGGACCTTTTGGCTCGATAATTCCTACGAATTTATGCCAGTCGCTCCAATAACGCGAACCACATAATCGGATAAGTTACCATCTATAGAGTAACGAGTATGATTTCTGAGATCGCTCCGAGCGAAAATCGCGGTGATTTGAAGACGGGTTCTGCCTACATCCGAATCGAATGCCGGACCGAGTAGCCTACTTGGGTTGACTCCCATTTTCTTTCAACTAAATCCATCCTGAATATTTAGGGGTTTCATGAACAAGTCTGTTTGACTAAGAGCCACATACAATCATTATTTGGGTACATATGTATTGGAAAAGTCAACAAAGGATGGCAGTTGCTTTATGCCTGAATTTTTATAGAAGTTTCCCAATCTTCATCGCCTCCCCTCGATGCTTAAGATCACGGAAAAGACTGCCTTCTTTTCTAGAAGCCTACCAGAATAACAACAGTCCCGAGGGGAAGGAAGAGGAGGCAAAATTGATCAAGCCACCGGATTAGCTTAGTGATTAAATAATTTAACACACAGGAGAATTGTACGCCTGTGTAATTTGAATTTTTCGTACCACGGGATGCAGATAATTCTACGATTAATTAGGTAATTCAACCAAGTTTTTCTTAATGAGCCTGTTACCTAACTCATAAAAATAGTAGAGTACTTCATGGATTTAGATTTTACCTAGAGAAGGTAGCTATCTCGTTGTCAAGAAAAGGATATCATTCATGTCAGCAAAGAATCTTATTATTTCTTCGAGTGATGAGAGGAATGGTAACGTATATTAGGGGTAAATTACAAAAATGTTGTGTTTTAAGTTCCCTTTAATTACACTTTCCATCCTCTTGTTTAAAATTTATAATTTGCATTCTTTTATTTTAAAAGTATCCTAGAATTCAAGTCTAGAGATATTAAAAAAAAAACTTAATATTTTGCATGCTCTAACTAAAGGGTTAATACCACGAAAAACCTCAAACTGATACACCTGTGATAAATTTACCCAAAACTAATTTTTTTACCATAAAAAATTTCAAACTGGTATATTTGTAACAAATTTACTCTTTTTAATATCGTGAAAAGTCACAGATTAGTACATCTATGATAAATGGAGGGTAAAACCCCAAATCGGTACACCCATTAACTGTCATGTGCCATCTAATTAAAAATTTTACGATAAAATTTAACGAAAACTAAAAGAAAGGTAAAATTATCACAGATGTACCATTTTAAAGTTTTTAGTAGTAAAAAAATTAATTTAAAATAAATTAATTATAAATATATTAATTTGAGGTTTTTCGTCATGTTATCGCCTAATCAAAATCATGTGAACGGTTGATGTTTAGGGTTCGAGTTTTCTTGTGAGGAGAGGCTTCCCAAAAATCTGGCTGTTGGAGACACATGGCAGCTTCTGAAGAACTTCCTAACGAGCTACGTACACTGCACACTTCAAATCTTTGACTTAATGGCCCATTTCTTCCATCGTGACAAGTCTTTTTGGGCCAAAAAAGAGAAATTGTGACAAATCTGTGAATAGTCCTAATGTTTCATCAACGAGGCCACCAGCAATGCAATTGAGACACGCATTACATTTTTCTGATGCTGAATCATCATCCTCAACGAGAAGGATCCTGTCGAGCAGGTAGGTGTAAGAATTTCAACATCTCCAGATCTTCTGAGAAGGACAGTAGGTATCAACAAGATGAAACTAGAAATAAGACATATCTGGCTAGTTAAGTAGCACAAGGAAAACCCATAAAAAATAGAGAGGAATAACATAGGATAATGCTAGGATACCTACCACTAGTTCACCAATTCGATAAAGTGAGGTGATCGTTTTTAATTGGCGGGGAATATGACTCCCGCTTTAATTATCTCATTTGGAGACCAATCGGGTGTTTTTATATCAAATCAATATTATCGGGTATGCACATCGAACAAATGTGAGATTAATATTAATATTATATAAGTATTCATATATCACATATATGATTAGCGTGAAACCAAATATGTTGGCCTTTTGTCAAGATTTTTTTTTTTTAATTTTCGCCTGTTTTTCGTGTCAAGGATTGCGAAGTACATAAAAGTTCATAGTTTTTAGAGAATTGCATAAAAATGAGGAAAAAAAGGCTCGAAGGTGGGAGTAGGCAAAGGCAAGAGCAGCATTCGAAGGCCACTTTCCCCCAGCTTGTATGTTCAACGAATTGGTCAACAATTTCATTTTAATGTATTAGATTAGAATGGGGTTTACAGAGTTTTCATATAGGTCGGTCTTCTAGGGTTTTTGTGTACTCCTCAAGGGGATGAGATCCTTTATCCCGGTTTGTATCCCCGTAATTTAGTAATTAATATCTCATTCATTGCGATCAGTACTAATTCATATGAATAGGAATAATCGTGAAATTTGTGACTGAACATATTGATAGTCGAGACTTATGGAGAAGCTAACACAACTATCGCGCGCGATAGAGAATTTCAAACCTTATGCGACCGGCACTAGTTAATTGCTACCGCTTACCGTCAATTTTTTTTTTGGCTCCAAACACTCCCCCACAATAGTTTTCCTTTTTGTTTGTCGCTATTTTCCTGCACGTCGCTTGAAATTATATGCTAAAATTTTCTCATTCTTTCTGTTCTGCTTTCGTATCTCGCAATAATACCTAATCATACAAAAACCTTGCGATAAATATATAAAAACGAACAAACCAAACAGACCCAAATAAATCACTTTCAGAAGCAAACTATGAGCGCAAGTTAAGCACACAGTCTTCCCAATTCCACGCCGTGAGATTACCAAGTCACCGTGTTATCATTACATTAATATATAGCCAAGTTTCCCAAGTTGTCTCCTTTTTTTATTTCAATTTTTTAATTTATCGTTTTCGAAATAGTTTGAAGGACGCGAGTTTGAAGTGGGCAAAATTGCTTCGCAAGTTGGATTTTCTTGTCAAAGACGTAGGGCTGCTTCTTGGAAGAGGTCTTCATCCGGCACACATGCTTTTCATTGAATAAAAGTAATAAGCACAACCACAAACACCCTCACTAATTCCAAATTAATTTCTTTATTCAAATGATGACGATACTATGATGAATAACTACAAGAAGAAGGTTGAATTTCCTGCAGGTATAACCGAGTGAAATTACCATGAACCAAAAAAAAGAAAAGAGAAAAATCTCTCTTTGAAACTTGCAGTTAAATAAAATTGCTACTTTCTTACTCTTATAGCAACTCCCTTTCATCGATTGGGATTCTTCCTCAAAAACTATTTGAGGAAATGGGAAGACCAGTGATATAGAAATTGGACCTCATAAAGATTGGAAGCCCAAACAGGAGGGTCGAAGTTGACATCTGTATCACAAGCACAGAGACGACATAGAGCAAAACATGCAACTCTACACACCAAAGAGCAACGATAAGCACAACCTCAAACAAACCTTACTCTAGCTGGGTGGTTTTCACCAAATTTAGATTCCAAGCAACACACAACTGACGGTGCTTATCAGTGCCGTCTTATTTTTAAGGCTGTGACAACTCTCAAAACTATTCTTTACAGAACTTGATAATTTTTTTTTTTGGTAAGTAAACAGAACTTGATAAAATTTTTTTTTTTTGGTAAGTTAAGTATTGTGTAAACTTTTCAAAGCCATGCTTACAGGGATGGTAACCGAACACAAAAACCCCGCACATATAGCAGAACTTGATAATTTTGATCTCACTAAACATCAAGAATTAGATGACAGCGAGATTCGGTGATTAGTTTGACGGAACAAAGTTGCAGTATCTTGCTCCGTAGTTGATTAGAGAAACTCAACTCAAAAAGTAGACTCGACAGCGAGATTCAACGCTTGATCTTTGACTAAACAAGAAACAAAGCCAGATCTTGGCACATTGGGGGAGAACCACACAAGTTTGTGCCAGTCAACATTAGCACTCTTGTTTCGACAATTTCCCAAGCAACTTCTGCTGGGTGGTGATGTAGGCCGTTGGGATGAGTTCACTGTGAAGTCTGATCGAAGTTATTGATGCAAATCATTGATTCTTCAGTTTCTTGCAATTCTGTTTTAGATAAACACAGCACCTTTGTAGACATAGCCGATCATTAGTTCCCAACCGTGGGGCATTCCTATATATCCACTCATGTGGTACTTTATTTGGTTGTCTGATTGAAGTTTTCGATACGAATCATCGGTTTTACAGTTTCTTGGATGCTGTTTGAGTTAGATACATTTATTATTACTTGTTGTCTCGGACTTTCCAATAGAACTAACTCGTTTTTTAGCCTTTCCACATGTTACCTGAAAGCTTGGGGCCAGACTTTACGAACGTTTCCTTTTCTCCTTTCTACAGGTTGACGTAATCTGAAGTTTAGGGACTTGAGGATGCATCATTGTAGACTGACTACTTGAATGCGTGTAATGAGTGGGCGTGTTTGCTTGCTTTGTTAATGGAATTTCGTCCATGAAATGAACAGATATGGATATATATGTTTGCTTCGTCTTTTGCTGGTTCCTTAGAATTTTCGTGTGCGTGAATTTAAAGAGGTAACAATGGTACAATGTGTGCATGTGTATCTTGCCAATTCTCGTCATTCATTTGTCTCATTTATGGCTGAAGCTTGAACTTTGTCTACGTGGCCTTGCAGCTTTCTTGGGTCAACCTATCAAGGACTTCGATATTAGCGTAATAAAGCACCGGTGTTGTGTACGGAGACCTGAGCACTTCGCCTCTTCCTGACTATACTAGCACATTTGCTGGTATGTTACAGAAACTTGTCTTGCTATTTATTTATCATATCTTGCTAAGTCCAGACTTCAGATTCATCTAGTGGATTGCACATCAAGGGAAAACAGACACTTATCGAACAGGGAAAGAGAACATATACCCACCTATCCATGTGAGAAATTCCATGAGAAATTCGAGAACCAACGAATCATGGAAATGTTTCCACCAAAGTCAAGATCTTAGCAAGAAAGCCTGCAGTAGCATGTCCCTTCGTCTCTACAATGAGGAGAAATCTCACGTCCAGGGTCCCCCTTCAGCAACTTCTCCTAGACTCGATATCGGTGAGGCGACGGTGAAGGAAGGGTATATAGACCTTTCCATAGGTCAACGGGCCGTTGGGACAAACTTCACCATTGGAATTCCAATGTAATCTGCAAGGCAAGCCAGATCGAGAGAACCTTGGCGGATGAGACAGAGCACAGCAATAACAAAAGAATTGGATGAGGGAATGCAACAATCTGCTAGAATGCAAAACTAAGCTGAGAAATCCAAATTCAAACGCGACAGTTCATTAATGACATCCCGGATTTATTGACATATTTGCTGGTTTGTGGAAATCAGCAATTCATTAATGACGTGATATGCTGGATGGGTAGCAATGTAGGCTGTTGGGATGAATTCACTGTGAAGTCTGATTGAAGTTATTGATGCAAATCATTGATTCTTCAGATTCTTGCAATTCTGTTATTGATGCAAATCATTGTTGGGTCTCCTACCAGTGTTGCTGTCAACTATTTCTCATATTGGAAAATAGTGCATAGATGAAAGTCGCGTTCTTTGATGTAAAGAAGTGAGTATTTTGAGCTAAATCTTCACTGCATCATGTTGACATCCCTGCTTTGAGTTGGTCTCTTAAATCCTCAAAAAATAAAAAAATAAATCAAAAGTACAAAATGAAAATTCAAAAAATAAAGAACTGAAATCGAATTTAGGTAGTTGCATCTTAGGAATATTTTTAATTTGATACCATTTAGTTTAAGATTGCATTTAGGGAATTATCTCAGTACATATTTTACTTTTAGGTTCGAATCAACCACACATAAAAGTGACGTCATTCCTAACGTAGCGTGACTATAAATCTATGTCCCAAGAGCTGCCCTAAAACCAGTCCATCCTTCACATAGCTGGAATGGAGCAGCTAAAAGTCTTGGACATGTCATGTGTAAATATCAAAGATAAGGCCACAATGTAAATGACGTTCGCCTCTCCCCCACCCGCTTTAACACCAATCAGCTTTTCATTCGGAGATGCTAATTTGCTCGCAGATTGCTTGAAAACAATAACCTGCAAATGCAAAAAGAAACCTAGCTCTGAATTCTGAACATCTATCATGTGTCTTCATACAAGCTGGAAGGAATAACATATCCTAGAAGTACAATGATGCATAAGACAATCAATGTGTCACAACGCTCAATCTTTTTTTGAAGCTTTCGCCCATCCATTGGTAGGGATTTTATAATTATCGAAAGTGATAGACCGCACAAGGCAAAGTGATAACTTTTGCATGTAGCATGCATAGGAAGTATTAGTTCTATCAACTAACGACAATCGTGATAGGATTTGAATAATCATAAGACTGGAAGATTCCGATGAAGTCGGGTAGCCGTAGTTGATCAACATCTATTACTCTGCGTGAATGCTCCAATATTAAATAAGTTTACGAAAGTCCATGGATTGTGTATAAGACTCCCTCAACAACGAGCACCATCAGTATGGGGTCCTTCAAAATGTTCAAGAACTTTCCTTCAATGGTCCTCAAGAAATAGGCGAAGGAGAAAAGGTTTCATAAGTTGGATTTTCTTGCAAAGACGTAGGGCTTCTTCTTGGAAGAGGTCTTCATCGGCAAACGGGCTTTTAAAAGTAAGCCCACGCACAAACACCACCGACCGTTCCAAATAATTCATTTATTGAAATGTTGATGATATTATGCCGAATAACTACAAGAAAAAGGTCCGAATTTGGAGGTTGAATTTCCTACGGATGTAACCGAGTGAAATTACGATGAATGCAAAAAAAAAGAAAAATGTTGTAAGTCTCTCTTCGAATCTTAGTCAATGAATATTTCTCTTTTTAATCTTATAACAACTCTTTTTCATCAATTGTGCTTCTTCCTCTGATAACTATTTGGAGAAATGCGAAGGTTAGTAACTGGACCTTATAAAAATTGGACCCGAAAAGAAGAGGGTTGAAATTGACATCTGTCTGCCGTCACTGGATAGTTTTCAGAGCAAAACATGCAACTTTACATGCCAAAAAACAACAATAAGCACAACCTCAAACAAACCTTACTCTAGCTGGATAGTTTTCACAAACTTAGATTCCACGCAAGACACGACCTACAATGCTTATTGGCGCCAATCTTATTTTGAGACCAAGGCAACTCTCAAAACTATGCTTAAAAGAGAACACGATAATGTTGATTAGATTAAACATCGAGAATTAGATGACAGCGAGATTCAATGATTAGTTTTGACAGGATTAAGACCTTCTTCTGTACTTCATTAGAGAAACTACATTCGAAAATTAGATGAGAACGACAATCAATTGCTTAGAATACAGAACAAGCAGAGAGATCTTGTTCTCCCAACAGACCAACAGTTAATCAACTGAAAAGTATTGAGTTTATCATGTATTACTAACCAAGAATTAAAGCCAAATCTTGGCACATTAGGGGAGAACCACACAAGTCTCTGCCAATTTCCCGAGCATTCTTGTTTCTGACAATTTCCAAAGCAACAAAAGAGTTGAGGCAACCAGTTGAAGAAGCTGTGCATACAACATTCTCTGCAGCTGAGGAATTAGGAAAATTCACAACACAAACAGCAGCTTGGATGGAGACCAACTCTCTAGACCTAGCAGCAGGCAATGAGAGTTACGAAATACAGCAGATACTTTGGCCTGCAAAGGAAGAGAAGATTCATAAGTTATTCTCCTACAGAAATGATTCCAGCAAAATCCCAGCATGGTGTCACAAGTCATACCAAGAGAAATATTATCTCCATTACCCACTATATATCTAATGCAGGGTTTCAAAATATTCCCAACTTTTAGTAACTTTTTCCAAGCATAAGTAGCATCTGGTTTACAGTCGAGATGATAGCTATAAAGCCAGGCAAAACATAGAGACCAGACCTCAACAAAATACTCCACGGACAATTTAAAATACAAGCAAGATTTCACAAATCCAGTCTTCGAATGCCAAGGCCTCCAAACTGCTTAGGAAGACAGACAGTGTCCAGTCTAACTTTTGCTCCCTCTTTAGCATTAGAATCTCCCTTCCAAAGGAAAGCTCTACACTTTCGCTCAACCATTTCAAAAACTTTCTTGGGCAGCAAAAAGAGTTGACACTAACAGTTAACCAGACTATGAATAACAGATTCAACAAGTTGAAGTTTGCTGGCATACGAGCGGCTTTCAACTGTCCGAGCTTTAAATCTTGTTGTAATTCGATGAATTTATGAGAGGCTTATAATCCTTGTCTGAAAGTCTTCCAAATAATCCACAATTACTAGAAGAAAGAACCAAACAAGAACATAGGGTTGGCTGATTGGTCATGCCGTTTGATTTGATTGCTGCATGTTAGACAAATGCATTTTTAAAAAGCTTAAGCTGTTAGGAAACGTGCCGAGCAATGTATATATAGCGTATAACTTAACACTCCCCTTCCGTAGAACCAATCCCTTACACACGCACAACAGAAGATGTACGTAATCATGTCAATGAGATAATTGGGGAAATGATAACAAACAACATAACAGACAAGAAACTTTAAACCATTTTGACACGTGCATTGATAAAATACTAGAAATGAACAAGTAGAATGCGGACAATATGCTAATCCTTCAGAAGAGATTCTTTCTAGATTCTGATTATACCCCATGATCATTACCCGCATCTTAAATAGCAAGTCAAAAGAAAGAGCAGAGACAGATCCACTCACCCTTTAAACTTTGCCAACCAGCGACTCCAGGGCTATGCATCTTTGATTCCATGAAGCAGAATATGAATAGTTATCAAAATGAACAATGGGCAGAGATTTCATTGAGTGCTACCCAGTCCACGAAACACCTTCATTTGTGTCTGTACTCGAACCAAATAAACCTTTCCTTAATCTTGGATGGTGAGTAAAATGCTGGAATGGAAGGGTTGAGGCGCAATAAATCTGTTTGCCCCATAGATTTCGATGTGCGTCACACTATGCTCAGAAATGATAAGATTGCGTGTGTGGGAATGAGTACTTTATATCGGTAAATGCAGACAGAAAATTAACACCGAGTTCCTTCCTAATCTGGTGAATGCTACAAAAGTAATTTTCGCATTTTATCAGAATCAGAAATACGGGAAATTAGTCAAGTGCATTCCACAACTTTGTAAATATGTTCAGATGGAGTTTCCAAACTAAAACATGAAAGAGGATTTGAGGCACCGTACTGCCATTAACATGACATGGACTTGCTCTATCCATCTGAAGTTCTGAGCTACACTTTTTCGATATGATGCAACTTTCAAACATTTTCAAACTTGTCTTTGCTACTTATTTATCACATAAATTACGTCCAGAATTTAGATTCATCTAGTCGATTGAACATCAGCAAAAAGCAGACACTTATTGAACAGGGAAGAAGAACATATACATACCTATCCCCGTGAGTAATTTGAGAACCAACTAATCATGGGAAAGCTTCCACAAAATTCAAGAACTTAAGAACCAAGCTTGCAGTGGCATCTCCCTTCTTCTCTACAATGAGGAGCATTCTCACATCCAGGTCTCCCCTTCAGCATCTTCTCATGGCGAAGTCACTGATTCAAATGCAACGGTCCGTTAATAACATCCCAGATTTTTTTATGACATTTTTGTTGGATGGATGAAATCACGCAAAAGCATTTCGATGGACGGGGGAAGTGATGCCGAATCTGAGAAGAGAAAGTGACCACGAGTAGAAGAGTAGTAAGTGGAAAGATCGATCATACCCTGATTTCAATGTTATATACGGAGGCATAGAAATCTTCACGAGATCGAGATGGAGATCGAGGTGAGGACGACGGGGTGGGAGAGCCGAAGCAGACTTAGCAGAGGAGGTGATTGAGGCGCGCACAACAAAGGCGGGGAAGGAGACGATGATGAAGGGGGGTTTATTCTTGACACGCCCTTAGTTATTCCGAATCCGAATCCGAATCCGAATCCGAATCCTCACCTGCCAAAATTAAAACAAACATTTTTTTTTTAAGTGACATAATTTTGGGCCTAAAATACGAACCCCTTTTCAAAGAGCCAGCTCAGATAATTATACCCATTAATGAAAGGTATGGGATTTCGCGGATGAGGGGCCAACAGTAGCCGGTCCCTTTCTTGCATCGCTCCTCCAGAATCCCACATTCTTCGATCCAGAGTTCTTCAAGGGAGGGAGGGAGGCCATCCTGGGGCAACTCCCTCAGCTTCGGGCATCTGGCGATCCATAACATCCGTAGAGAGGGAGGGAGACTGCAGGACAGTCTTTCCACTCTCCCCATATCAAAGATACGGAGATCGAGCAGAGAAGGAGGGAGCGGAAGCACGAGATCCTCCTCCTCCCCCGCTCCTCCAACGCTGCCGTAGATCAACAGCTCTTCAAGGGAGGTAAGAGGGCTAAGCCACTCCCCCACCGGCTGCTTTATATTCCCGCAATCATATAAAGAAAGTGACTGTAGTTGAGGCGGCAATTCTCCATCAGGGAAGTGCGTAATACCCTCACACCATCCAATATCCAGGCTACAGAGACGTGTGAGTCGATTCAACTGATTAGGTAATGATTTTATCTTCGGACAACCGATAAGATGAAAGCTTGAGATGCTGGGAGGAAGAGGAGGGAAGCAATCCAACTCCAGAGCAGGACAGCGGGACAAATTAAATGAAGCGAGATGGGACAGCGTGTGTAGGCCCTGGGGTAAGCTTCTCAAATTCTCGCAACCCCAAATTGAAATCTCTTGAAGCGACTGAAGGCCGTCTACATTTATCTCTGCGAGCGACTCCACTCCCCTGCACCCCCTAATTTCAAGTCTCTTGAGGGTGGCGGGTAAAAATCTACCGTCGCTGAATGGAGAGGCTGGCAGAGAATCGCATTCGGAGATTGTTAATTTTTCTAGACAAGGTGTCATGTCACCGTGGGTATTGCTACCGCTGCTGCTTGGTTCATCCAGATGAACACTTAATCCTCCTCTGGGTAGAGATTGCAACATCTCGCACCGGCTGATGTTTAATGATATTGTTGATGTAGGTATACCTGTTTCGGGGAAGGACACGAGTTTCGGACAATCATTGACCGTCAAGCCTCTAAGAGCGGAGAGGGTGTGCATCTTGCTTGGGAGCTTCTCTAAATTGACGCAATTTGTCAATTTGATAGTGTCGAGGTTGCCAGGCAGCTCTATATCTCTTTCTCCAGCGACAAAACATCTTAATTTCGGACAATTTCTGATGAGCAAGCTCTTCAGACATGCAAGATTTCGAATTACATCTCTATCTTGCCACAAGTATATTAACTCTGTACACCTTCCGATTGTCAACTTCTCCAGCTGGGTCAAGGAGCTTGTAAACCCATGATTTAAGCAAGTCAGATCAGAAACATCATCTATGGCAAGTGCAGTTGGAGAAGCTAGGTGTACCAAATTCTTCAGCACCCCCTCATTACAATCTCCAAAGTTTAATTCATTGAGAGATGGAAGGCTCATGATAGAGGACGAGGCATCCATACACGGACAAGAGTAGATTTCAAGCTTTATGAGGGAGCTTAATTGACTAGGCAATCTTCCGACCAACGCAGGACAGCGTCGAATGATGAGATGCTCAAGACGAGGGAATATAACTCCTACTTCTTCAGTGTCAACGCAATGAGACCAGTCCTTCCACAATGGCATATCCTTGAATTCCAAAGTTATTAAGGATGGAAAAGGACTTTTACTTCCATAAAATTCAGACCCTACTGTGCATATTGCATTTAAACCTTCGATGTACAGATCTTTTAGCAAAGATAGCTGCCCGAGTGATGGTAATGCTTTGATGCTTTGACACCCGTGTAAACGTAACTGCACTACGTTAACATATGAGGGACATCCTAACCATGATGGGAATTCTTGGCCACCGTAGTAGGAAATTCCGAGCTTTTCGAGGTTTTGGTGAGGGCGAAGAAATTGAAGGACTTCTGCTTCAAGCTCTTCATTCCGGAAATTTTCAAAATCTCTACTCCACTGCATGGTCAACCGACATAGTCCCATCTTCGTGTGCAAATTGGCGTTGATGGCATCTCTGGAATCTTGAACCATATGCAAATCAGAGATGCACAATTCCCCTTGAAGGTTCTTTAGGTTTTTTAACTCCTTCAACCTTGAGCCATTTCTCGTTCCCACTACGAACTTAGACAACATCTCAAGACCCATCAAATTACCTATATACAACGGCATCGCTTCTAGTCTCTCAGTGTCGGTAATGTCGAGAAATTTCAGATTGATCAGTTTTTCAATACCTTCTGGTAATTCAACAAGGTCTTCGCAGCCCCTCAACATCAAAGCCTCTAGGTTGTACAATGTAACAATTGACTTTGGAAGCTTTTTAATACAAGTATACGATAGATTAAGGTGCCTTAGGTGTCTCAGTTTGCCAATGGATTCCGGTACCTCTGTGATGTGGTATTGACTTAATGAAAGCACCCTCAAGTACTTCGATGCCGACAACAAGTCACATAGCACCTTTTGGGACACAAAGACGAAATTCTTATATCTTGAATTAGATGCCTTATATACTGATATGAAGCTCCTAAGGCTCTCCATTTCATGATATATCTTGAATTCTTTTGGCAGAATGTATTCACCGAGAATGAATGAGGCATGACGAGCTACAAATGCAGTATTGTGATCACCCTCAAACTCGGCCAAGTCAAAACAAGTTGCACCTGCAACTAGCTTTGCCAGGTCATTCACAAGATCATGCATAAAAAATTGTGACTCATCGCTATCTGACTTTTGAATTAACGATCTAGATACTAACTCGTTGAAATAATTCAAACCAGTATTCCAACGGCTCTTTCGTTTTTCTCCCTCCAACAAGCCCTCTGCAGACCACCAATGAATCAACTCATCCCGTTCGATCTCATAGTCCTTGGGAAATATAGCACAGTAAGCAAAACATCTCCTCAGATTGGGAGGGAGATGGAGGTAGCTAAGTTTCAAAGCCGGAAGGATGCCATTGTTTTCTTCTTGTGCGTTCCAAATTTTGCTCTCCAATACCTCTTCCCATTCATGGGGACTGACATAACAGCGTAGCAGCCCGCCCAATGTCGTTGCGGCTAATGGCAACCCTTTGCATTTTTCCGCAATTTTCCGACCTAATACTTCAAGATTGGGACGATCATTGAAATTTCCGACTCCAAAAGCATGAAATGCCAACAAAGTCATACAAGCATCTTCTGACAACTTTTTGAGAGAATACTCTTTAGCACGGGTTATTTTAGCAATGTGAGAATCACGAGTAGTGACAATGATCTTGCTTCCCTCTGCTCCCGATCGAAAAGGTTTCAAGAATTCATCCCACTTTTTTGGATTCCTGTTCCAAATATCATCTAAAACGACAAGAAACTTCTTCCCCAAAAGGTTTTCGTTGAGCTTATTCTGTAGCCAATTGAAGTCCTCATCTTTACAGGACAAAGTGCTGCCGATTTGCTGTAAGATACTCCTTGTAATATCGGGCACCTTGAAATTATCGGAAATGCAAGCCCATGCTGTCACATCGAAACAACCTTTGACTCTAGCATCATTGTAGACTTGTTGAGCGAGAGCCGTTTTCCCAAGACCCGGCATACCTACGATGGCAATCACTTCTCCACCCACACATGTTCCATCGTCTTCTTTCTGGGTGAGCAATTTGAGAATCTCCCTTTTGTCATCCTCCCTACTAACGAACCAAGGCTCGCACAAACTCGTAGTGGGAGTCCGCTCAGTTGGCCGCTTCTCCTTGTTCTCTCTCAGGCCCAGACCATCTTTCAAAGTTACGATCTCCTGTAACGTATTATCCATCTTCTCTATCTTAGATCCCATTTCGTGGTCGAACATCAATGCTTTCGGGCTCAATCCGAAGCAACAACTGGGAAGAAGGGAACGCGCCTTGCTAGTGCTAGGTTCTGCCTTAGACTTGCTTTCAGCAGATTCTATGGCGAACTCATCAAGCAAGTCTTCAATGTCATAGGCCAAGTTCCCGAGTTTTTTGAGCCACGACGTCACCTCGCCATTGCCGTTCAGTTGCTCCTGCTCCGCAGCATCCAGCACCTTTTTTATCTCGATAAGGTTCTGCTCCCATTTCTTCAGTCGCGTACCAATACCCTCACGCCGCGCAAAGTTGAGAAGCTCGGGAGAGGCCAACCTATCAAACAGCACTGAAAGAAAGGCGCCAAGAAAGAGCTCTGCAATGGGCATGGCTTGACTCGTGAGCGGCAGAGGATTAAACAAGAGTGCCCGGAAGGGTCGAAACAAAGCGTAGAGAGCGGAGAGGAAACAAAAGTTCTTCCGTCCAGGACAACAGCATCAAATGATGGTTTGAATCAAAAGACTTTTTAAGCGCTAAAGTGCTCTTTCTTTCTCGGAAGCAAGTTGGTCGGACGTGGGATCAAGTCTGGGCATCATTGAAGCCACCGACGGCTTAGAAGATAAAGAAGTGGGCCCGTATCCAACCCAACCCCAAAACTTCTGCTTTATTATTGTTCATCGTTTCTCTCTCACCACTCACATAACGCAATTCCCAAATGCACCCATCAACCATCATCATGCATCACACATATCGTACGGCATCATTGTTTCATTGGTGCAGCCTCAGGAACTCCATCTCGTCATCAAATAAGGGAGGAGTTATTACACATGTATGTAAATCGTATCATCATTAACCATCGATTATACGAGTCCCAACCACTATTTCACTGTCACGTAACGCGAGAGCCCAATGCATTGAAAAAGCTGTCAAATTTTTGTAGTCGATTGCTCAACAAGTGTCCGAAAACACTTGATAACAAAATCAGTTTTAAATGATGATTAGAAAGAAAAAAAATTGTTACTTTCTCTTCAATTTTGTCGTCGTCACCTGGATACGATCTCTCAAGAATACATAATCGGATTATTAGATTAATGGAAAAAAAAACCGGGTTTGTATTAAATTGAAAACCTTCAAGCTTCAATTTGTTTTTTCCCTTTTTGCCAGGCAACAATGATTATATTCATGGCAAAGCTTCCTTTCTTTTGTTTGGTCCACGGCGTCAAAAAAATATATGCTTATTGTTTTGTCCCAAGAAGAGAGGAGCTACCTAACTTCAATATGCCCACCAGCCATTCAAATAGGTGGAATATACTTATTCACACCCTGTTATTATAGTGTGCACAAATATTTTATTAGCGGTAGAAAGTAGCCAAATCCCTAGATTATACTATTTTGTTATGGCATCATATCATAACAAATGATCGATGTGGGGAGTGTGCTCTTAAAATGACCCTGGAAGGTGGACTAGTTGAAGCGTGTGAGAATTGGTTCAGTCACCACTTGGCCACTAAATACAAAAAGAAAAAAAAATCATACATAGTTCGTGGGTCTCGAGGTCAAATAAAATTTCAAATTTCGAGGACTCAAGGTCAAATAAGATTGCTTATGTTTAATTAAAAGATCAGTGAAAGTACTTATCTACGATCTGCCCACCGGGTAATTATTTTTTGTAAAACATGGAATTACAGGGTTCCTATTGAAATGCCTTCCTATCCTAGAGAAGGTGCATTCTCTTTAGGGCGAAGTGCACCCTCTTCACTATAAGTTGAATACTTTCTTATGGTAAAGCGCATGCGTTTTGCTCTCATTCAGGTCAAGGACATTCCTTAAAGGTCAAGTGCATGCTTCTTAGGTATTTGAAACAGGGCATATAATGATTATCGGGATAAAAACAGCATGAGTGCCATAATTTTCGTATGGCACTCATTTAAGTGTCATAATTTCTTTTTCGCTCATTTAAGTGTCACATTGGAGTAAAATCGATCATTTGAGTGTCACTTCTGACAAATTGTCCTACGTGGATTTTTTTATTTTTTTAAATGATTTTTTAATTATTTATTTTCCTTTTTTTCTTTGTTTTTTTTTTCTATGCACCGGCCGCAAAGGCCTCACCCTCGGCCGGCGGGGCCGCGAAGGCCCTAGGCGAGGCCATCGCCGGCCGCGGGTGAGGGCCTTCGCGGCAAGGCCACCTTCCCCGCGGCCAACGAGGCCGCGATGGCCTCGCCCGCGGCCGACAAGGTCGCAAATGCCCTCGCCAAATCAATATTGACGATGAATATGACCCATTTATTAATCTCATTTGAAGATTAACCTAGTGTTTTTATGTAAAATCAATATTATAGCGTATGCACAACAGACTAACGTGAGTTTGAAATACATTGGTTTTTTGTTGATATTTTTTTTATTATTATCACCATTTTTCGTGCCAAGGATGGCCAAGTACATAAAAGTTTATAATTATTAGACATTTACATAAAAATGAGGAAAAAAAGCTTGAGGGTGGGAGTAGGCAAAGTCAAGAGTAGCATTAGAAGGCTGCTTTCCCCTGTTTATGTTCAACAAACTGGTCAACTATTCCATTTTAATGAATTAGATTGGAATCCGATTGACAAATTTTTCATATAGGTTGGAATCCAAATTGACTTTTTCTGGGCGAGGGCCGCGACGCCCTTGCCAGGGTCGTTGACCCTCACTCCAAAAAACAATAAAAAGGGAATAAAGAAATAAATTATAAAAAAATTCAAAAATTATTAAAATATCATTAAAAAATCTCCATGTCAGCGCTAGTTGTGTCACGTGGGACAGTCAGCATCCACGTTAGCAATTTCTGATAAAAATTGGGTGGATGGACTCAATTGGCAAACGTGAAAATATTTATTACTCGACTAGCACAATTAAAAGGTTTAAGACTGAATTGACAAAAGTGCAATAGGTTTAGAATTTTTTTGATAATTTTCCCCCTCTCGAGGGGATGAGATTATTTCTCTTTGTTTGGTTCCCTGTAATTTGGTAATTAGTATCTCCTTCATCGTAGTCGCTAATCCATGTGAATAAGGATAATCGTGAAATTTGTAACTGAATGTATTAACAATTGAAATTTGTTGAGATAACAGTAGAGACATTGCGCACGACTGAGAATCTCCAACCTTAAGCGACCAACACTTGTTAATTGTTACCAGTTACCTTCAATTCTTTAGCTCCCGACTCACCCACAATAGTTTTTCCTTTTATTTCTTGTTTTTTTTTTCCAGCACGTCACTTGAATTTTACGCTAAATTTTCTCATTCTTTCTATTGTGCTTTCATTTCTCGCAATAACAACTAATCATACGAAAGTCTTGCAATGAAAAAAAGAAAGCGAACGAACCCAATAAAATCACTTTCAACAATAACGTGCTATATTAATCATTAGGATTTATCTAAGAAACACTGCTAGTATCAGTCATTATATATAGATCTCGCAAATACAATGACCGCAAGTAAGCACCCACGTTCTCAATTCCACACGTATTGAATATGTGGCCTAGGACTATAGTAAATATACCCAAGTTTCCCCAAGTTATTATAATGTGTCAATATGACCCCATGAACCCCATCACATTATCAAATAATGGAGAAGTTATTACATGAACCTACTTTGTATAGATCGAAACAATCATGACCATTAATAATATGGGTCCCAATCATAATTCTATTTAACATGACAACTCAATGTTTTGAAAGCTGCAAAACTTCCTGATTGACTGCTCAACTATTCTCCAAAAGCACTTGATAACAAATCATTTTTAAATAATGGTAAAAATACATAAATATTTGTTACTTTCTCTACGTTATTGTCGTTGCTGCCTAAATTTGCTCTCTCAAAGATACATAATGCATAAGATTCGGGTAAAGAAATTGAGTGACCGTACATCGAATTAAATTGTAAACCTTCAAGCTTCATTTTCTTTTTCCCTTGTTGCCAAGAAACAATTATTATATTCATAATGAAGCTTCCTCGTTTTATTTGATCTGCCAGGTCAAATGAAATATGATTATTATTTTGTCCAAGAAGGAGAGGAGCTACATAACTTCACTATGCCCACCAGCCATTTAAATGGGTAGAATTTAATACTTAATAAGTCATATCCTATAATTATAGTGCTCGAATATTTTTAGCGGTAAAAAAACAGCTGGGTCCTTAGATTATAGTTTTTGCTATGGCATCATATCATAAAAAATTGGCCAATATGGAGGATTGCACTCTTAAAATGGCATGAGGAGATGGACTAGTTGAAGCGTAGATCTTCAAATGTTCGGGAGTTCCTCTATTCAATCCTTTTCCTTCTTCTTGTCGCTACATGTATCGTTCGTACACATCTTCTCTTTGTTTCCCGAGCAGGCTCATGTTTCATTAGGAGAATAGTTGGAGGACCTAACTACAGTCTGTCTAGTACGAGCATTTTGAAGTAGAGATGAAATTTTCTCCATTAATTTAATCATTGGTGAGTGTCCACCATAAGTTCCCAACCAAAATTCCCAACTCATTGTGTTTTGTCCCCTGGGTCAAAATTGAAGCAGAGGCCATCCTTCTCGCCGGCAACCACGGAAAAGGTCCTGGAGCTCCCGAACATCATCAATGGAAGTGATTGCAAGTTAGCCATTGATGCTCTACTCTGCACTCTCGCGCCTTGTCCTCGAGAGATTTAGCCTCTCGTCTATGCTTTGCTCTACTCCACGAAAAGGCAGGATTAAGTGTAACCCGGTCCTCCCGTTTCTCCAACAAATAATGTTTTCTTGTATGGCTCTTTAGATGATCACTAAATCACATTACTTTCTAGCCAAAAAAAAGAAAAAGAAATGGTATATTAAGACTCATTTATTAAATTGAAGAATTATGCAAGGTTTCAAACTTTTCTTAATTGTTGCATATGACTTTTTTGTTTAACGGTCTATTTACAGTTTGTTATATAACTTGATATATCACTCTAGTTGATTGTTTTTAACATTATCTATCTTAGTCATCTCTTACAAATGGAGAGCGTTAGCTAACATTGACCGGCGATCGATTTAATACTCTACTCCTCTATTTTTTTTTCTCCATAGCTCAAGTAGTTTAGACATAAATATATTCATTGCGTTCTTAACGTGGGATAGTGCATATTAAGATCTATCATCCTTCAAACACGAAATTGAACATGAGAAAATAAAACATTAATTTATTAATACGATCAAACAGTATCATAGAAGTTAAGGTAGTCTATCTAGTGAGTTTGGAAAGGTGACTTGATAATGGGAACATCATTAAAATGTCACCATTCTTTCAAAGTTTCAATATCAAATGTAATATCTTCAAAGTCTTTATCATTTCTCAAAATTGTTCTACTTAAATAGGGTGGGATTAAATGTGATTTACAATGGTGGCCTAAATCTCTCACTTTTTTCTTGTTTTCATCGGACATTTATTCTTAACTCGAGTTCAATAATATTGGTAATCAAATAAATCCAATTCTCGACAAGAAAACTCAATTCGAGTTAGTGATTAGATAGTATCTATGAATCATACTTGAAATTTGTCTAGGTCAGATTGCTGGCATGCCACGTCGGATAGTCGACAATGATGGGCCGCCACATTAGTAATATTAAATGAAAATTGATTGAAAGGGCTATATTGAAAACTCACACATAAGTGTAGAATTACATTAGTAAAATTGAAAAATTTAGGACTGCATTGA